AGGAAATCGCATGATGACTGTATCACTCTCTCGAAGAAAAAAAGAAGAAAAGAAAATAGAGAATGAAAGGCATAAGAACAACCTGATAGGGCTTACGAGCCACATGTGGGGAAAAACAGAAACAAAAACAATACATAACATTGACTGTGGAATCATAGCCTTCATCGATTAATATTAGCTTAGTCCTCTGAAAATAATAATCCTTTATCATTATTTTTTCAATGCTTCCTTTCTAATTACGGAATTGAGGATATCTCTGGCATAGTCATTGAGGAGAATCGGAATTTGCACAGCAAGTTCTTGTTCACCGTAATTTGCTCTACTATGCAATTGGTGCAAGTACAAAACTATTTGCGAAACTATAGCCTGTCATTTTTACACTGTATCTACTCTGGAAAGAATGCCAGACTGAAATTGCCGCATAATTTCAAAAAATAGCTTGTATGTATGGATTTTGAACGCCATTAATATTTTATTTTTAGAATAGTACGTTTGGGTGCTGACCTGAGTCTTGAGTTTTCTATTGCACATTTTCTATCTCATAAGAATATGCCAAAGAATTCTTTCCGACAATGTTTTTTCTGCAATTTCACTTCAAACTATACAGAAAATTGCCTGAAATTATTCTATTCAACTCGCACTCACACTTCAATATTCGAATTCGCTTCACGCCCAAAATTTTGCTATTTGCACAGCTCAAGTTAAAGCTCTTGAATATGCACTCGATTGAGGCATATGCCGAAGCGATCTTGAAGCCAGAAAAATTGGACCACAACAAAAAATGAAGTGCCACAAGAATAACCTTCCCTTTCACTGATGACAAATCGAGCCTGTTTCCCAACCTCTTTATTTAAAACTTGTTGTCAATATCTGGGCACATAAGTTTTATGTTTTATAAGACCTGGTACTACATTCAGGTGAATCTCTATTTTGAACCCGAGAAAATTCGGTGAACATCAAATAAAAGTACATTTTTTTTTCTGTCAGATAGTACCAGAGAAGCTTCCTACAAGGTGAAGTTGATAAAAATTGTTATATAACTGATGTTTTCGATACATCATTTCTATGGAAGGTTTAGCCAGGATCAATCTTCAAATGTGTGCCATTACATTTCAAGGGGAATTGTAATCAAGGTTTTAATGCATACACAGTAAACTTTCAATAGTTCAAACTTGAGACGACCTCTGGTTTTATAAGAATTATCAGATGTTTTCATAAAAGCAACTCAGGAAAACATACCAACTAGCATTATGATTAAGCTTGTGGAAATATTCGAACGAATAGTAGGGCATTCGAATTCGCTTCGATATTAAATTATTGAAAATTCCGAAGTATTCGCAAGAAACGAATAAATGCATACTAATCCGAGTGTACCGCCTGTGAAGGTGGTTTCACTGCAGTGTAGGAATGCTAAACCGTGAAAGCACCTACCCAAACGAAATCCACTCTGCCGCAAAGCCCCCCCCCCTTCAAGGTTAAAGGGGCCCAGCAACACTTTTTGAGCCTCATCAGAAAACGCTGCCGATCGGTAGTCGACACAAGCCAAATATTATAGCACAGCACGCGGCGTGCGATTGACAATAAATTCTCAGTCAGCTGAAAATTGCTCTATTCTCTCGGCAAATGACTTCACAAGCTCAGAAACCACATGCGACTTTTTTTTTTTTACGTGCCATCCCTCCCTCCTTAGCTTCCAGCGCTTTCGTCGGGACGAGAAGAGAATGCACTTGCAGCGTGCGAGAAATCTTTGCAACTCCGCGTGTCTTAGAAGAATGCTAACATCATCTTAATACATAAAAAAGGAGATGACAAGGCCAATCAGCTTGCTCTCTGTAGTGTACAAGCTATTTACAAAGGTAATTGCTAACAGAATTAAGACAACATTAGAATTCAATCAACCAAAAAAACAAGCAGGATTTCGAACAAGCTACTCAACAATCGACCAGATCAGAGGTCGGACGTTCGATTCCGCGTGCTGGAGTCCTTTTCTGAATGTTTTTTCTTTCTTGCATTTTCATATATATATATATATATATATATATATATATATATATATATATATACAACCGCCTAACCCCCGACAATCAGACAGGCTATTCAGGAGCAGGTCTCCGAGGCATTGCCATTACTTATGTCTGCCTCTCCACCAACACCTGTTACCGTGCCACTGACTTATGCGGCCGTCGCGGCAATGCCTCCACCTCGTCTGCCAATGTATACACCACAACTTGTGCGACCGTCCACCGCGCCGTTTCCAACTACACAGCAGCACGCCGGAAACCCTTGGCGCACTGCTGACAACCGGCCCATTTGTTACCTTTGCGGAATTCCAAGTCACGTTGCACGTCTATGTCGTCGGCGCTTCACAGGTAACGCACCAAGATATCCTGACTATTCGTTTCGGCCTCCATACCCAGCACCTCCACTAAATTGTTTAGAGGTTTATTGGCGGACACTCCGCGATGATTCACAACAGCGACAGTCAATGCGAGGACCGACTCTCTGCACGAGTTGCTGCTCTTCTTATGTAAAGGGCGACCCACTAGAAGGCGCTGGAGAGGACAACCGACTGTTCAAAGGCTTTACCACAATATATATATATATATATATATATATATATATATATATATATATATATATATATATATATATATATATATATATATATATATATATAAGGAAAAGAAGTGTATAATTAAGGGCTCATTTTTCTGTGTTCAACAATGCGAAGGAAAGTATAGGGTAGGTTATTAGATTGAATTGTAAGGCAAATGTGAAAAAAGAAAAGTGGGTGAAAAGATAACTTGCCGTGTAGAACTGGGGAAGTGTATGTCGTGCATAAATAAATATAGCTTGAGTTTATCCCTGCTGTCTCATGATTTTGTTTCAAGAGTTGAGGCCTATTATTGTCAGTGTCATTGCTCTAGATATGAGCCGCTCCATGCCAGTATATATATATATATATATATATATATATATATATATATATATATATATATATATATATATATATATATATATATATATATATATATATATATATATATATATATATATATATATATATATATATATATATATATATATATAGGGAACTAAAAAAGAAGAAAAAAACAAAAAAAAACAAAAAAGGGGAGAAAAAAGACAAAAAAGAAAGAAAAGAAAGAAAGTAAAAAAGATGAAGAACCACTGTCAACACTGAGAACGAAACCAACTGTCCGTGTACGTCCACGTGACAAGAACCGTATGAGGACGTACACGGACAGTTGGTTTCGTTCTCAGTGTTGACAGTGGTTCTTCCTCTTTTTTACTTTCTTTCTTTTTCTTTTTCGTCTTTTTCCCCTTTTTTGTTTTTTTTTAATTCTCTCACTCTCGCAAACATCTTTCAAGGCGAGAGGGACGCGGCAGCAACGAAGTTTGGAAGTTCATGTCAGTATAACTTATCCCCTGATGAAGGGAGGACCCCTCCCGAAACTGTTGGGAAATAAATATATTTATCCTTGTTGACAACGCTCCCGTTGTGCCATATCCCATATATATATATATATATATATATATATATATATATATAAAGATGAAATAGATGATCAGAGTTTCTTCCGGCTACCGTAATAAAAGTTATAAACTTCGAAAATAGAGCAGCATAGGAAACAAAACAATAAAATATTTATTTAATCCTAACAGTTTCGGCTGGTGGACCAGCCTTCTTCGGAGGATGTAAGTGAAATGGTACAAGTTCCCGCAGCAGACGGTCACCCTCACAGTTTGAAGACCCTCCAAAACAATTAAAAAAAAAAAACGAGACAAACGGGCGAACGAGGTAGCAACAGACAAGAAGCAGAAGAAGGAGAGGAACTAGAAAGGAGCGACGGAGAGCCGCCGGAAACGAGCGGGTAATTCTGGCATTGTTACTGCGTATAGGTAAGACGCGCCGCCAGCGGAGGCGACCAAGAGAAACGGAACAATGTGAAACATGTTGCCGCTTACTCGCATCCCACACATGGATCGAGTTTAAGTTCACGTGGTTCGCCGGCTGGCCCGCGGCATCGATGATGTCACTCTTGTGACAAACACCAGCCAATGTGCTGCGGCTGCTGCCCCGAGGGAGCTGGCGCCACTCGTTTTCCCGTTCTTCCCGTCCCCGCCCCGTCGCACTACAGCCGCTGCAAATGACCCTACAGCTGACACGCGCTCTCCCATAGAAAGCCGGCCGACACGGCAGGCCGCACCGTGCGCTCCTTCATCCAGCGGCCGTGCCAGTGCAGTGAATGTGGCTTCAAGGAGCATGCGATAGACAAAAGGCCAGACCGCTTTTCCCCATTTCTTTGATCAACATGGGATTCTAGGTGCTTACGGTTTGGATAGTCTGGCCATTTTACAGGCGGGCAATCAGCTTTATCTGCGACTGTCAGTGGCATAAAAACTTGCATGTTCAGCTAGGTGCAACAAAGACAGTAGACATTTCTCCGAATGGACAAATCGAAAGTTCGAAATTACCCAATTTGTGCAGTGAGGCAGTTTGAATTGAGCAGGAGAAACATGGGCCTCTTTCTGTTCACCTCCACGCGGTACGTAGCCACCGTGGCCTTTTAACTTCAACCACTAGGACACAGTTGCTTTCCCAAAGCTGTCAATCTGAACCACGCCTTCAGTTACAGCGACGCAACTGGTTTTCCCCCTCTGCACCCCTCTTGCCACTTGTGCCTCAATGAGCAGCCACAAATGATGTTTTCTCAAACTTTCTGATACATTAAAAACACAGTCGATCAGCCAATAATTTAAGACTTGTTTGAATTAACTGAAAGTGTGAATTAATCGAGTCTACTGTACAAGTAGACATACATAACATCTACACAAACATCAGCTTCCCTCCACACACCAAATATTGAATTCCTTGTTGTGCCCACACCTACTGCTATTGACATAGGCAGCGGAAGTAATGAGGCAACCAGTGCAGACAATAAGGATGCATGGAAGGAGAAACGACGGGGAAGCCTTACCTCTAGCACAGACATTTGTGGTGATGAGGACACGCTCGACACCCCTTCTGAAGCGCGTAAGCACATCAACACGCTGCTCAATAGTGAGTTCGCCCGAGAGCAGGGACACAGTGTGACCCTCCTTGGTCATTTCTCCAGCCAGCCAAACAGCTGCTTGTCGTGTGTGGCAGAAGATGATGCTCTGTCCGACGGACAGCACGCCATAGATATTGGAAATGGCCGAGAACTTCTCTTCTTTGTTGACACAAATCACGTAGTACTGCCTGATGTAGTCAAGGCTTTCCTCCTCCTTTCGCAACCGAATAATCACAGGGTTGGAGATGATCATCTCGGCAAACTCCATGACGTCTTTGTCATAAGTGGCTGAAAACAGCATCATCTGGCAGTTTGAAGAAAGTCGCCTGCAAATACACAGGACACATTTCCTTGTGACCACTAAACTTCCAAGTGGACGTTGATGTGAGTGATTTGACAGCGGCCCACATGTCTAGAGTGCCCTGGATTTCGTCACCTGGCTGCTTGCCATTGCTTTTCAGATGAGGAGTCCACTAATGCCAAATGCTCAGAATAGCAATGATTGTCAAGCTCTCATGATGGGAGAAATCATTTAAATAAATATATGTTTACCACAAAGGTGAGCTCAGACTTGTACCTTTAAACTGCATCTTTTTTATTTTCAAAATGCATTTTTGGGAACTGCTTGTCTAGAGATCATGTTTTTGATACTTCTGATACCTAAATTGGGATAAAATGTCATTCGCGCAGTGCTACCCGGATGAACGAAATGGCATTCGCCCAAATGCCATCGCCAGAACTCATTCGACTGAAAAATGCGTACTCTCGGCGGCACAGCTGATGAAGTAATTGTATAAAACGACATTTGATTCGACTGGAAGAAAACTTTTTGCTTATTTTATTTATACTAATCACTTAAAGAAGTGCTTAAAAACTTATCTTCAGCTGGTAGACGCTGTAAAATAAATGCGACAGGCACCATTTTGTTTTTACGCTGCAGATCTGACTAGCTTTGGCTTAAGTTGCTACACGGTCGGTTGCAACATCAAGAAACAAAGTAACGAACGAAGTCTGATGGCAGTGTAATACGCATATTTATACATTTATTTATTATCTGATGTGTATGAAGCTTGTAAACGTTTATTTTTTTATTGCTGCTCACGCAATGCTCACGAGAAAGGCGCTGCGATCGACATCAAGTCAAATGTCATTCGCTTTAGACGTGTAGCAGCACAGCCAAAGGAAACGTCATTCGGGAACTGAATGCCTTCGCTATTGAATGTCATTTTCTATGCCCGTGTGGCACGGGTATTACACATTGTCATGGCACAAAACAAAAACTGCATTACTATAAAACTAACTATATATTTGAAATCAGCATAAAAGCTTATATATACAGCAGACAATTTCATTGCCCTAGGCAACAGATTAACAAAACTTCTTTTTCGAGTAGCATCTCCTTTTGAAGAAAAACCGCAGCATTGCATGTTAGTCAAATAATACCCACACTATACATAAGTATTTCCTTACGGTTTCATGAAACAAGGATATCCTATGTGACAGTCATCTTTGCAAAAGATCATGTGTTGCAATCATACACTCCACGCCACGTCAGCTAAGCTGTACCATGACTTCTAAAAACATGAACCATAACGAGCCACTGCATTCGCTCAAACAGTACTCACTTGTGAATGCGTATGGACTGGTCGTGATGTCCCTGTTGGGCAATCATAATGTCCGCTTCATCGAGGACAAAGACTTTGATGCGGGAAAGATCGAAAAACTTGAACTTGAAAGCCCAGTCAATGATCTTCCCTGGTGTGCCGAGGATTACTTGGTCTTCAATCTTGTCCCCGTGCGAGACTGAAACGCACCGTTTCACAACCATTGTAAATACTGGACAAGGCATGTCTAGTTGCACGAGGTTGAACCATCCGTTATGCGACAAGCTCAATAACTATAGTCTAAATATAAACTAAGGATCAACAGACAAGCCAAACACACTAGTGGTCAGAGTACTAGTGCTTCCCTGGAATGCTAAAAATGCTTTAACTATTTGTTCGCACTAAAAAGACCAGCTTGTTATTGAAAAGAACGCAGGAAAATTCGCATTCATGTTTGCCCACTAGAACAGCATCCTATATCAGGACATGGTCCGCTTGTAAGTTACGTTCATTAGAAAAAAGGCTACACGAAAAATTCTTTTAATGAAACCTTTCATGAGAAACAGTTTCCATCACCACCGAAATTTGAATTTTTGCATGCTGGCATAGTGAAAGACATCTTTACAAGCTGAAAATATGTCTTCAAAGCATGATATAAAACTAATATTAAAATAAAATTTGCATTAAAGCACTAAAATTTCAACAATGAAAAAAAAACCACAAGCCTTGTTCACCAATTTCAGGTGTACAGTCTCCAAATTTGGCTCTCTTGTGACCACCTCAAATTGGAATTAGAAACCACATAATGGTCCCTTCATAAATGTGACCAATCATTTCCCAAATGTAAAAAGGTGATGGTTGAACTTTTACCCATGCAATCCATTAATTAAATAGCTGTTTTGCAACAGATGCATAAGCCTCAATGGCTAAACACACATTTGTGTTTTCTGCCGCGATTCGTGGAATGCTTTTGCTCAAGAATTCAACTGAATTTCAGCCACATTTCTTCTACCTACATGTCGAATTCGTGCCTTGAATGAAAAATTTGGTCACTGCCACTGAGATGGTATGACAGAAGAGCAAACAGATTGAAGCTGGACAATTCCAGAACTGCTGGAACTTAAGGCACTAGCTTAGAGCACATTATGTTAGTTGCGCATGAATGGCATATCATCTAAACAAAGGAATACAGGCAAACCATTTCTTAATGCTTTTTAACAATGAGTATTCTAATAAATTTCGCATCACTCTTTAAATAAAACTCATTATTTGCACCACTCTTTGCAAAAGCTTACTTTGAAGCAGGGTTTTTTCCACAATACAAATCTCCTTTATATGGAGATTGCTCAGAGCAAGTGTTAAGCTCAGTAAATATAAATGCAAAGTGTTTGATAGCCAGATCAACATTCCTTGGGCAAACTTTGCAAACAGATGTATTCTGAAGACATCTAAAGAAACAGCCCAAATTTACACATAGAGGGAGAAGGAATATGGCGCCCACCTTCATGTGTTCTTACCTAGTCCATGTGTAAATGCAATGTTTTCCAAGACTGATAAGATATATTGTTTTGACACTAGAGCCAATTTTCTTGTGGTGCACCAACTAAGATCGACACTAGGTTGACATCAGGCTGCAGTATCAATGCTGGTGAGTTTGCTCACTAGTGTGGCTAGTTGTGGTGACGTCGAGTACCAAAACATACAAAACTGTCACTTGAACGTCGCCAAAGAAGCAATAAAGTGGAGTGCAAACATCATGGTATCTTGCGCGAGCACGTAACGAGAGTGTTCAGGGTGCCGCAGAAAGTAGAACTACCTTTTAAAGGCACATTGTAAATTTTTCAATGCACGCTCATATTTTCAAAGTTCTCTGAATTGACACAAGAAACGATTGAAAATTTTTGCATCAATAAAACTTTAGGGCAGTAAAAAAATCACCATATTTATAGTTATCAGACAGTGACTGGTGCTGTTCACGTTGTTTTGCAGTAACTGTCATTAATCGTTTAACTTTCACTGTTCATTGTCTCAAGTTTGATACAAGCTGACAGTATCTGTGAATACATTCACCAAAACATATAAACAGCAAGCATTCATTGATTGATTGATATGTGGCATTGAACGTCCTAAAACCACCATATGATTGTGAGATATGCCGTAGTGGAGGGCTCCAGAAATTTCGACCACATGGAATTCTTTAACGCGTAGCCAAATCTGCGCACACGGGTCTACAGCATTTTCGCCTCCATAGAAAATGCAGCCGCTGCAGCCTGGATTCGATTCCGCGACCTGCGGGTCAGCAGCCGAGTACCTTAGCAAGCAGTTAGGTGTTACCCATGTCCACATGCCGCGCCACAAGTTGAGCATGCAAAATCCGACTGTGAAGAAGCTCACAGGTGACTCCGCGGACTGCGTAGCAGAAGGTGATGCCCTTGCAGAACTGAGCCATCTTCTTGGCCACCTGTCCAGTCTGTATGGCCAGTTCGTAGGTGGGAGACAGAATCAGCACCTGCGGGTACCGCTGCGATTCGTCCACTCGACTCAAGCTGGCCAAAATGAAGGCCGCTGTCTTTCCCGTACCGCTCTGCGACTGGGCGATCATGTTCTGCGGAGGGTCGGCCAACAACGTCGGCAGCGCCGTCTCCTGGATCTTGGATGGCAGGTCGAATCCGCTGGCGTACACGCCTTTCAGCAGTTCGGGACGCAGTTTCAGCTCTTCGAAAGTCTTGATGGAGAAGAGCGGCGAGTTTGGGTCTCTGCGATCGACTTCTACTTCGTGCGTCGAGCTAACGATGCGCGAACGAAGTATCTTCCGCATAAGTGACGCCTCCGCCTCGGTAAGCGCTGAAACGAGAACGAAGCAGTGGGTAAAGCACGCAGTCGTCTCGCTCTCATAAAGCCGCTCTTCACTGCACTTACCGGGCTCATCGTTGCCGGTGACGCTGTTCTTTTCGCCATCATTGCTCGGACTGGCGTCGCCGGACCCGTCAATGCTAACTGCAGACACCTGAAGAAAGACCGTTTGTCAGCGACCACTACTACTACTTAAAGCGTTCTGCTTACCTCTTTTGAGAGACTCGAGACTAACTTCTCTTGCTCGTCAGCGTCTTGCGCCCAACTCGACATGTTTCTTTTAAGTCAGGCGAACAAAGGTGTCCGAACACAGCGAAATTGGTTCTTACACGTTTTTCTTGACGCTACCGAGACCGCATTGAACAGTGATAAAAATAATGATGATGATAAGTGTTTTTTTTTTTTAGTGAGAGCATGCCCAGATTTTTAATTTGTTATTTACTAATATTATACATCTCTCAAAAATGCTAGAACTTACATTACTTTGTTTGTTGTTTTATTTTAACTGTAATGAGTTGCGAGTTGGTGAGCGAGTAGGCGGCATTGCTGGCGGCGTCAACATGGCTGCGCTCATCCAGGTAGTTGCTCGCCAAGCGCAGTTAACTTTTGGCCGTGGCGTTTTCGCGGATGAATTGTTCCGTGATTGTCTCGCTCGACTGCATAGGATAATCGGTCAAGTCACTTACAAGGACGTTAACTTGGACTTAAACCTGCTTCAGGCGCTATCCAAGACCACCAATGGTGGCAACGAAGCGCCCATCGCGTATATCTCCCTCTATGACAACTCGAAATTTAGCATGAGTATCTTTATCATACGCCGCGGGGAGCGCATACCGCTTCACGATCACCCCGGCATGTTCGGTGTTCTCAAGGTGCTGCACGGTTCCGGAACTATACGCAGCTACAGCGCGCTCATACCAGTCGTCGGTGGCGAACAGCTGGTCGAAGCGCAGCGCCACCCGGATCTCACCGTGAGCCCGGACAGCGCGCCCTGCTGCCTGACGCCGACCGAACGCAATTTCCACGAGATTCTGGCGCTGGACGGGCCGCTCGCCTTCCTCGACATCTTGGCCCCACCGTACGACGGCGTCAAGCGTGACTGTCACTACTACACCGTCTCTTCGTCGCCTGCCGGAGAGGACAACGTGTGCCTGCATGGCGTGTCGCCGCCGCGCGATTTCTGGTGCGCGTCGTCGCTCTATACTGGACCTCCGATCGAGCCTTCGACTGCTCAATAAATAGGGACCCTTCCCGCGATCGGAAAGACTGCACATCGTTTCGACGCGGATCGTGCGTCTCTCGATTGCGTTGCTCGTACGAACACCTCGACTCTCTCTGTGGACAACGCCGGTGGTCGAAGCCAGAGCCTTTCGGCGTGCCGCTACCCTCGAGTGCTCATCCTCCCCGTGCTCGACACGAGTACGGCATATTGATCACCTACTTATTTTTCGCTCCTGTTATTTAGTAGCCGTTGGCACTGCGTGGTGGTTTTTTTTTTTTTTTTTTTTTTTTTACTCGACACAGCTGCGCTTGCTTGGTGCCGCATCTGGGGTATCATTTACAGAACGCATAGAATATTTTTAGCTGTTTAGCGAAAGTGTTCTACTTCCGTGATCCTTTCTCGTTCTAAAAACCGTAGTATTGTTATTTCGAAACAAGAAGACTTAGCCATCAACTCTGGTCACCATGTTTTCTTGATACTACTACTTGGCTCACTGATTGCCCGCTTCATTTGCAAAACCCTACTGAAATATATTGCAACCGTTAGCTCTTCATCACACGTGTTCCCTTTTTAGGTTTCAGAGCTGCCTGCCAAGTGTGGCGCACCATTTGCTGGCAGTGGCTACCTATTTGGCTGTACATTACCAAATGAAAATTGAATTCAATGGTACTAATAGAAAAGCGTTCTAGCCTCTGTAGTACTAACCTGGAAAAAATAGGGTTTAAAAGAACTAATGGTGAATGATGTCAGAACCTTATTGTCTTTATTTTTTTCTCTATGTGTAGGGTAACATTATTTCTTGGTTTGCAAACTATAGGAAAAGTGTGCCTGAAGTACTTGCATCCGATGCTGGGACAGAGCACATTTATTGGCATTATTTTGTCAGCCAAGATTCCTAGTAAACTGCTTGACAGCATTTGAAAAAATAAACGAATTGGTTTGAAATCTGGTGGTTTCAATTATGATGCAAGGTTATCTACATGGCTGGAATGCAAACACAAGTAGATTGCAAAAGAGACACTAGGTCACAAAGACAGTTTTATGCTTGTATAGCGCGTTTGGTGCCATTCATGCTTGCACAAAGTAATAAACAATGTACCAACTGTTACTCCAGTTGGGTAACCATTTGAACATCAGTGGATCTGTTGTAATGTCTACACGAAGTGTAAACTAAAACTTGCGTGCCAATATTTCTAAGCCTTGCCATTAGACAAAAACGTTTATGCAGTCTACCCTAATTTTCACAATTTATTACCATTTTTTCCTTCAGGAACATATCACTCAGACATTTTAGTGGCTGTGTCACTAGACTCTTTTTAAAATCTTTACTAATTATAGTAGGGCAAAGATTCTATTTGCACTCCCTTCTCCACTAAATTGAAGGTCAGAGTTCTGTAATAAAAAGAAGAAACAGCTCCTTGCTCTAGATCATCCCAATGGTGCTGCTGAATCACTTTTGTAGCAGACTATAATTGGACGCCAGAGTTTATCAGATTGCACTACACAGCCAAGTGGCCTGGTATCCTTGCCAGTAATCAAGTTTGTATTATTAATAAGCAGCCAGAAACTACTATGCTTGTTCACAAAAAACAAAGACAAATCACTGGTGGTGGCTGCCTTTGAAGTAGGACTCGTACTCAAGGAGAAAGATTTGCCAAGACTTGGAAACGAGTGACGACTAGCTTCTCAGATAAAACAGCACAGCTACTCTCAGTTCGCAAACTTATACCCCCAGGCTAAAAAGAAAGAAAAAAAGAGATTATCTCTACACTTGCCATTGTTTTCTTCAACTGCTTACACGAAGGCACAGTTTACAAGCTATTCTGACAATAAAAGGCAATACAACAAAAGGTCCAATGGACCTCCATGGGAACAGTCTTGACAGTGCACACCATATGAGCATTGCAATTCAAGTCAATATTTTTGACGTCATAGGTGTTAATAGTGTCGAAAAATTCGAGCTTTTCAGTTACCCACCGCCCTGTATGGTATTGCAAGACATGCCTTTACCTTTATACATATGCAAGAGCTTTATAGAGACATGAGTGGTATAAAAATGTTTTTATTCGCACTACCCAATAGGAATTGTGCCATAACTCTGGCAAACATTTACATAGTAGTGCACTTATTTCTAAAGTTAGTAAAGAAAATTTTAATTTGCCATCTTCAATTTAGCTGTTGGATGTACATCTTGAGAAAAATGCAGCTTGACAATTTTCATCAATTGCACAAGCCGTGCAAACTTTTTGGTGCCAACGCAAGCCGATTTCACACACACACAGACAAAAAAAAAAACAGGATACATAACTGATCTGTAAAAGTCGCATTGAAGTTTATTACAATAAATAAAACTGCATATGCTCAACCATTCTACATGAGCACTGTACCAAGTAAAACCACGCATTTTAATCCTAACCGATGTCATTATTTGACACGTTAGGCTTTCCGCATGGACAAGTAGCGAGCACTGGGTCAGACAGCAGCTTGCATTGCGAGCTGCATGAGTTTTTATTCACAATGGAGAACATTCCAGAAATGTCTTCACAGTGGCTAGCCGAATGCTGAGCGACTTGCATCGCAAGGAGTAGAGTTCGTAGCACTAGCGACACTTGTCAAAGGAGAGACCAAAGTTCTCTCGCAAAGACAATGGCTCTGACAAAAGAAAGTGCCCAGCAGTCGTTTCCGAGAAGTGCCCATCCTCCGGCATGCGAGCCCTGAAAAAGCAGAAGCGACGCTACCTAGCATCGCCAGTGAAACCACAAAAACGGGATGCCATACAAGGCCTAGAGGCATCGAGACTCAGTGAAGTCCTCGTGCTCACAACTTTTTATCTGAAAACTGCTCCTTTATAACCCCCTTGCATCACATGTGGGCACAAGCAGTTTGCTTGACGGCCGCCCCTGCCCAGGGCCTGGCCCTAAGGTGGCGTCCTGCCTCAGCCACGGAAATGCAGCTCGGCGCAGCGCAAGCACCGTCTCTTGTTTAATGGGCATCGGCACAGAAGAAACAGCGTCTGGCGCTGCCGCACGCAGTGTTATCACTCTGTGTACTCCCACCAGTCCCGCTCGTAACCCTCGTGCACATGATCCAGCAGGACCCGCCGCCGGCTCTCGCAGTACCTGCATCACAACAGCAACAATCTCACACTTTTACTATCGATACACATCACACAGTGAGCGTATACGAGACAGAACAGCTAACGAGGCTTCATCACTCACAGAGCTGCCACTTAAAATTCACGTGTATGCTGCATTGATAGGAAAAGACAACACTTAATGGGAGTACGAATGCTCGTTCCAGCAAAAGAGCTAATGAAAACCTCAATGTCTCATTACTGAAACAGCCACTGCTTAAACAGGTCCCGATGTTTCAGGACCCCTTCCTCAGAAGTTGCCTGCATTGGTCGAAAAAGTGGCATCATTTAGCGACACCCACTGAAGAACCAAATGGGTCTCGATACATAAAGACCATCTTTTGAACTGTGGAAGCTGCAGGTAAGTATCACGAATTCTTCCGCCGATCCAGGCAGAGATGTCAAAGATTTAATTTAAGATGCAAAGAAATTTAAGAAGCTCGCATTGTATTGAAGAATCTCTCTTCCTCACTAGCTCTTCCCACTACAAAATAGTGGAATGGAGCAATTGAAATCCACACAGACAAATTGGTGCAGCAATTTGTAAAATGATGGCACTGCCTGTATTATTTTTTGCATTTTATGGCTTGCCAGGAGTCTTATTATGGCGAGAGTGGTGCTTGTGGTATTGAATCATTATTTTTAGCATTCTTTACAAGCTGCCCAAGGTGCTGAAGCACCTAGTGCAGAGTATATGAGGGCATTCTGCCTGCATCGACAAGTAGCCAGGAGTCGAACCTGCAACCTAGTGCTCAGCAGTGACCACTGGCAGACTTCCTTTACACTGCACACGTGACCACTTCCATCCTATTTCAGTAATGCTGGGTAGCGTGGTCACCCCACCTCCAGCTGCTAAACTGGTAATTGCTAGTATTAACCTAGCACATTGTCCTTCAGCGAGTTCCTGAAATGACCTCCAGTACAGCAGTTAGCTAGTACCATGACATCTAGGACATGCACAACAATAATTATTTTTACAATGGAAGTGTGAACAGGTATGAATGTCACTCAAATGTAGGAGCAATATTTTTAGCAGAAGCTTTTTCGATCAGGTGCCAAAATTACAACTGGAAAGCACGTTAAAGTTCATTCTACTGTAAAATGATTAATAATTGCACCCCATAAAAACCACCTGCTATATTTCAATCTTTATTTACTTTTCCATAGAGCCAATTCTTAACTATAACCCTTTATTCATCACTTTTTGTTCTATCATGGCTTTAAACATAGTTATTTCAAGAAAAGTATGTTGCAGGAAAAGTAGTTACTGATCTGAAATCAGCAAAAAAAAAAAGCTGCACAAGTCAGAGATGGCTCATTGAACTTGAGAAAAAAAAAAGTCTAAAATGGTACTGTCCACCTAAATGCTCTATATTCCTCACAATCACCAATGTTGGTAAATGGAAAATGCACACACCTGTACTTGTCCTGTACTTTCTGCTTGATGTCGAGCAGGTTGGCCTGAGTTATGTCCCGCTCAAGGTACTCGGACAATTTTTCGGTGGCACTCTCCAAGTCTCGCTGATTGTCCTGGACAAACAGACCATTTGTGAGAATGCTTGCAGAAGCGTCTTCGGTCCTTTTTTACTAATCATATCATCATCAGCTAAATTCATGTCCTCTGCATGGCGAAGATCCCTCTCAATGATTTCCAATGGAGCCTACCTGGTGCCAACTACTTCCATCTTACAACTGTCAACTTTGTCGTTCTGCCTAACTTGGTGCCACTCTCTGCTGCACCTTGTATTCCATCCTACTGTGCTCACCACCATTTATCTTTTTTACGTGCTACATGGATAACCCATGTAAATTGTTTAATGTCAGCTATATTATATTGGTGACCAGTGGTGCAGCCAGAAGGCGGGCTTCAGGAAGATCAAACTCCCAAGACATGTTTCCATTCCTCGCACGCAAGTGTCTGTGTACACAAACACGCACAAACGTGCTTGAAGGAATCGGACAGCATCCAGAAAAAATTTCTTGTAGGAGTGTGCATATATCTGAAATTTTGAATATCTCGCTAGTATTAGCTGTTCAATTCAATTCACACTGAAATTTCACTATTCCAACTTCTTAAAGACAAATACAGTCAACAACAGATTAAAAGATACCCCTTAAAATTTTCAATATGCTTCACCTCACCATCTTTCATATTGCGGCAAAGATGCCTTTCAGGTTCAGCTGTAGTCAAACTTTAAAAAACATCTAATTGAAAGCGGCCCCTTCAGATTTTCAAACGCTTCAACTACAGTGGCTGCAATAGGAAAGTGTGATGAGCGGCAAGCGGCGCCTACAAAGCTCACTGAAGCCTCCGAGGAGGAGCCGCATGGAGGCGCGCGCAATCGTTTATACGTCCTTTGCACGTTTCCGACAGTTTCGTCGGGCGCGTTCGTCCTCATTTTTTAAATTGGGATGGCACTTTGACACCAATGCTTCTGTATGCACTCTCATGGCGTGAAAACAAACAAAGTCATTGCTTCGTCCCGGGGTTCACTACAGGCTACAAGTCAGCTAAAAAGAAGCATGCGTTGTTCGTCGTTACGAAGGACGAAGCGCTGTTAGCGCAGTGGCGGAGAGCGATCCCGCGCGCTGACAAGCTGCTTCAAGAAAACTCTGCTGTGTGCGAGCTGCACTTCGGCAAGAGGTACATCTCCCGGCACTTGGAGAACACTGTGATTAGCGAAATTGCCCGCATTGAAAGTAGTACACCCATGGGCGTGCTTGCCGTTCGGGGGGGAGGGGGTGTTGCGAAGGTTCATTTCAGGGTGCCTCCTTACTATTAAATCAGCGTATGAGCAGATTTTACGCCCCTCTTCTAGATGACTAAAAGAGTGCCCCGCTGCCTAGTGAATGTATAGAACAGATTTAGCGCCCCTCTCCCAGGTGGCCAGCCACTTTGCTCCCCTCGTGCGGACGTCTATGGGTAGGCCTTTCGGAGAAGCTCTTCACATTTGTAGATGCCTTTGAAATCACTTTTTCAAAGTGCTTTAGCTACAGC